CTTAATTTTATGCTGATGACAACCCAAACTTTTAGTATTATGCTGATGACAACCCGAAAATAATTTTATGCTGATGACAACCCAAACTTATTAATTTTATGCTGATGACAACCCAGACTTATTAATATTATGCTGATGACAACCCAAACTTATTAATATTATGCTGACGACAACCCAAACTTTTATCATTATGCTGATGACTATTTTTTTGTTCATATACAGCTATAAGTTAGAAATTATCACTGATGTTATCTTTAAAATATGTTATTTTTGATTAAATAATTACAATTTACAATCATATAAAACTAAAATTATTTAATTTATTTAATGAATTAATATTTGATTGAATTAATATTTGAATACGATATTGTGATATCATATATCTACTTTCATATTCATGTGATTTCAAAACCCATAATTGTTATTCATATTCATAGATTAGTACACAATTGTATGTCAACACATTATTTATTACCTTAAACTGTTATTATTAAAGGGTTGCGCTTGCGTAAAATTTACTATCGTGGAAATTCAGCTTTTTTGCTTTTTGGCTAATCTCATCCCTGCATTTAAAAAGAAAAGGTTACATTTTTTTCATAACATTGTTGTTTTTCCTAATGAATGCAAAATGATTAATTACTGATGTCTCTCTACAATCAAAGAGCGGAATTGACTGACTTTGTGTAAACAAAATTTGTATTGTAAAATCTAATTCTGCTTGAGTTAGTATTTATTCTGGATATCTGGAGATGCTAGGCAAAGTTAAATTATTTTTTAAAAAATTACCTAGGACAAAACATTAATGAGGAAGTGTTAATGGCATATCAAGTTAATGGGTCAAAAAATAAGTTTCAGTCTTGAAATTTTTTTTGGGTGGCACCCATGGTTGCATTGTCTAAAATTCAACTTGAATTTAAAATGAAGTTTATATGCATATTATGTTCGCACATTTTGCTACATGTTTGTTATATAAACATGGAGTGTAGCATTGTTAAAAAGTGCTTAAAGGTGCCTATTTTCGTTTTATAAAAGCCCTGAAAGGTGCTTTTTTCATTAGGTTTTTTAAAAAGTGCTTAATTTTCCCTTTTCAAAAATTAGATTTTTTTTCTTTATCATGTCAATTTTCGCCACGTTCGCCAAAAGCGTGCTTTTTACATTATTCTATTCACCGTTTTCACAATTGATTCAACCACAAACTGTTTTGGCTTACTGTCGGTCCATAGCGTGAAAGCGCCAATCGTTTTAAATATCTTTTGAGTGCTTGAAAAGTACTTAAAAGGTGCTTATTTTTTGTTGAAAGATTTGGCTACGCACCTAGATAAAGCTGAATTTTTACAATAATAATCTCTGCCTCACTGTGTTAAGAGATTTATAAATATTCTGCTATTAGACATGTGTGAAATATGCATCTACATGCATATTGACAAACTCTTGCCATCACTGTAGTATGAATTAAATATTAGTAAGGTATATTATAACACAAATCAAATTCTTGGTATACCTTTAATCAAATTTTAAAAAAGTGATAATGGACATTAAAATTGAGCTTTTTTATTTTTGATGTTAGGTACTTAGTTTTTTGTATGCCATTGATATATATGTGATGCATTAAATACTGAGTTCCATCAAAAAGTATTGAAAATTTTAATGATATAGTAAAAGTAACGTTTCTTTTAATTGCATGTTAAAAAAAACTTTTTTAACTTCTTGAAATATATGAGTTTCTTTAAGTACTGTCATAAAGACTTTTTCAAAACAAATGTTGCACAATTTTATTTGTAAATATGCAGTCCTAAAAGAAAAAACCTTACTGCAGCATTACAACCGCAAGTGTTAAAAAAAAAAATTTAGTGAAAGAAGTTTTAAAAGATAATTATTTTCTGTGTTTAAATTTAATGTGTTTCTTTCTAAAAAGACATTTTTATTTTAGGTAGAAGTAGCTAAAGTACTGTTGAAAGAAAATGGTGTAAATTTGCATCTAACTGTTGTTGATACACCTGGTTTTGGTGACAATGTTGATAATTCAGAATGGTAATACTTTTACTTGAAATTGTAAATTGTGTGAAAACTTTAAACAAGGCTTTCTCTCATTATCGCACACTTTCTTGGGGCAGTATCTGTTATCCACATTAATCATATTAGTTGATACTTATTTTAATTTAGCAAAAATATACAATTTGTGCTAAAAAAAAGTTTTTTTAATTTAGAAAAAAGAATTACTTTTAAAAAAGGAACAAAATAGACACGCTTAATGTTTTTTTCATTTCTTACTATTTACTCCCTGGTACTACGATTTACTGGTAAACACCCCTAAAAATTCTACTCTGAAGTCATCTGTCTTATGTTTTCACTCAATAATTCCTTATTCCCTTCCTCTACCTCATTTCTTCTCTTCCAATTTTTTTTATTACTTTAATTATAATGCGATCAAACATCACTTATTTTTCTGTTACTCTTTGAAAAATACTCTCTACAAATTTTCCATGTAGCCTTGTTTTAACAAATTTTTATAACTTCTTCCTCTCAAGAATTTATTTTGAAAAAATCCAATTGATGCATTTAAACCTATTGTGTCATTGATCATACTCTTCTCTTAAGCTAAATCATTAATGACAGCTTAAATAATTAATAATGGAATTTTTTTAATAATATTTTCTAGAACTTATTATTTATTGAAATGAAAAATGGAGTATTTTTTAACCAATTTTTATTATTTTCCTGTTCATTAATTTTTCATTATTCTGCTATTAATAACATATGATATTTGGTAAGCGGTAATTTCAATCTCTAGAGATCTTTCAATCCGCCCCTTCAAATTTGAAATTTTGACTGTATTTAATGTCTCAGGGCCCACGCTATGCATTCGCCATCTCACCAAATTCGATAAAATTATAAATTTGGCAAAACAAATTGTGTTTCAGTGAAAGTATTGAGACGTTTTTTTTTTCTACTGGAAAAAATATATATATTCCCCTGAAAATTACATCAATATGATCTTAAATTAGAATTATATTAAATCTAGATAATGGAGAACCAGAAAGATTCTATAAGCATAAAAAAAAATACAGATTAATACGTTCGTTGCTGGATCCTGTGATATTGTGTGACAAACTCTTTCCTACAGCTTGTGTCAATAAAGTAGATTAAGTGGTATCTAGATGCATATTTATCTGTCAACTAATTTTTCAGAAAATATGTGTTCCCATGACAATAAAATACTGTTTATTAAAAATAACTCACTGTAAAATTTGAAAATTAAAATGGTTACTTAAATACGAAAATTTATGTTTAATGGTTACCACTTTTCAATGATAAATTTAGTCTGACTACCTGCACTCGACTGACATTGAATGGATTAAATCCCCCCTCCCTGAATTTCGATTAAAAAAATTCTCTTCAAATAGTATAAAAACCGATAAAACAGAATTAAATTATTCAAATATCTTATCTTCTACTGTGATCCCTTTTTTTTTTCTGGATGATTACAATTGCGACTTTAAAAAGCGCGAGACTGTAAAAAAATTTTTTATTAAGAAATAGGAAGGATTTAAAAAATGAACAGTTTTATTTAAACGGAAATATATTTAAAAGATAGTCAGAATCTAAAATAACATTAAATGCTATCCTTATATTGCTGCTCCAGTTTTAGAAGTTATCAAAAATTAACCTTAACCTTATTTCATTTCCTCAAAAACGGTAAAATATATACATTTTTCCACCTCTCTAACATTCATTTCTCATTTACTTCTTCCCAACAGTAAAATGACTCTTGTTTTGAATTAATTAAAATAGTTCAATAGTTTCTGCATTTTCTGCCATTCCCGCTAAGACTCAAATCTTTTGCATTCCATAAATCTATAAATTAAATTTTATTCCCCATTTTGTGATTACTCAAATATGCATTGTATTGCATTTAACACTGTTTCGTGATAATAATTAAAAAAAATTGGATATTACGGAAGGAAGAATCTATAGGAATAATAATAGACTTATCGATAGCAGTCGACTTGTGCACCCGATATAGCAGAAATTTGCTATTTATATTAATCAAAAAATAGGGGTTTTCTTATACACCGGATTATAAAGCAAACTATTAAGAATTTTTAAGTTTAGAAAATCGCGAAAAATCTCGCGAATAAGTAACTCATGCCTGCTAAAGTAAAACTTTTTGAGATGGTTTGATATTGCCATTTTTTGTGAAAATATATTATAGCTGTAGTTTATTACTCGTAAAAAATATCTGAAACAATTTTTTTGGTATGTTTCTCTTAAATAGTTTTTCTTAACCAAAATAAAATATGTAAAAATTCTAGAAATTCAAATAATCTGCATTAAGTGTTGTTCTTTACCTTGTTGAAAATAGTGGACCATAAATGTGCCTTTTATTTTGCTGTTCTTTTATTATTTTTGTCAAATATTTGTCATTCTCCCTATTAAATTCATTTGTTTTTTTTTTATCAGGTCATTTACTCACCTGTATAATCTAGAAAAATCATCAAAATTTTATTTCTATAGGGAAGGTTGAAAAAATTTAAAACTGAATTATTTAAAAAAAATTTTTCACTCTTTCGTGCAATAAATTCTTTTTGCAACTTCATATAATATTTCAGTTTTGGGTAAGCAGTATCAATTACTTTTAACTACTTCAAAAAAATTTTTATCATAAATTANTATTCTTATTTTGTGATGTTTGCTAATGTTAATCATTTTAAGAGATTGATTTGAATAACAATCAATGATTGCTACACCTCTGTTTTATCCTGCTTCCAAGTTGAAATGAAGGAACTTATGCCTAACATGAAGAATCACTTTATTATGTAATATAAAATGTAGTTATAAAATAGAAAATGATCAATAAATCTATCTTCTAATTTTTTCACATTAAAAAAGATTTTTAAATATGTATGCAAGCTGAGTGTGTTTTTATTTTGTTTTTGAAATATTACTCTTTGTCAATTCTTTATTAGGTATAATCTGTCATCATTATAGTAAAAGTTTCTTTACTTATCTATAAACTTTGTGATTTTCTTTCATATAACCTCCTAAATACTTATTTCTTTTTTGTGAAAAAATTTTTTATTTATAAAGTAAGATGGAATAATTTATAAAAAGGATATGATCGTAAGTTATTTAAAAGATAAGAAATAACAATAAAAAATACTAGCATAAATCAATTACTGATATTTTGTACTAAATATAAGTGTAGTTGATGCTCGATAACTCTTGTCCAGCTTATGATAATGGCCATTCTACATGAGGTCATTTTATTAAGAGTTCACAAAAATACCATAATGATTTACTCATAGCTAAAACATTAGACTAATTTTAACAAAGCAATGCTTTACCTTAATAAAAATTAAGTGAGTTACAGAAGAATTAATAATGATGATAAAACTTGTTTTTTATAATTAAAATATATGCATAAAAGTACCCTCTAACAGAAAACAGAGCAGAAAAGTAATACATTGTAGGTGAAAAATACATTGAAAATGATAAGTCAATATCAATATGGGAATATAACTACAAAGACCACATATTTGATTTGGAAAACAAGTAACTAAAGGGACTAGCATCTTACAAAATGAGTGAACTAAATTTTCGAACAAGGAAAGTATGACTTATAAAACTTTGTGTCTTTTGAAACGAAGTTTTTACTGAATTTGAATGTATTGTGTGGAATGCATACAGGACTTAGATAAATAATATCAGTTTGAAGAAGTCCTTATATCACAAACTTTTATCCATAAATCACAACTACCTAGGTTAAAAATTTAGGGAGTCATTCAAAAATAATTAAATAATCAAAAATAATTAAATAATTCCTTTCAAACTTTGGATGTTATATTGCAATGAACAGTTTAGTTTTAACGTCATAATGAGTGTTGCATTTGAATCTCAAATGGGATGATAAATGTGAGTTATGGCTTCTATGGAATAATAAATGGAATTTTATGTGTCATATGTTATATTGTTATTATATTAGAATTGTTGTTGTAATGAGAGTCGTATTAAAGAGCTTAGAGTGTACATATTTTTTATCTTTTAATACTATTTTAAAAAAGAAAATCAAAAGTGAGCTATTGGAAAGTTTTTTTTTTTTTTTTAATGAAAAAGTCAGAAAAATATGTTGCTGATGTAAAATAGGCATACTTTTAATGTTTTTTAAAAAATTTCTCTTTGATTGATTTGTATCTGTTTGTTGCAGTTGGCAGCCTATTATAGACTTTATTGAAAATAAATTTGAAGACTATCTAAATGGTGAATCTAGAGTTCATAGGAGTTTTGCACCAGATAGTAGAATACACTGTTGTCTATATTTTATAGCTCCATCTGGTCATGGGTGAGTAAACTAAACTTAACTGAAATTAGTTATGTACTGTGCATGATGATGTGACTAATTTCCAAGATTGATTTAGTGAATAAAAAATAATAATGTCAATGTTGGCTAGAAAATTAGTTCTATTATGTATAGAGACATCAAGAAGCTATTTACAAATCAGATCTTTTTAAAAAAAAAGTTTAAAAAAATAAAAAGAAGAAAAAAATTATTTTATATAAAAACATCATCCGCAGGGATGAGTTTGGTCTCCAATATAGAAATGTTTAGCCCTACTTGACAACCTTGCTATTGAAAGGAAAAATGTTTTACTTCATTTAAATCTGCAATTATTGTAGTTTTTATATTTTTTAAAAGATTTTAAAAAATCCCTATGTATAGAATATTGTACTTATTGTATAATGAACAATGAATTGCATAATATTGAATTTCTTAAAATCTACTAATTTTTTAAGTATTTAATTTTTTTTTCTTCCTATTAATTAACTGTTTTTAAGAATTTCTTCAGAATTGAATACCTGAATTTGATTGTGTATACACTAGTCATTACTATTACTGCATAATCACAATTTTAAAAAGGAATCAGTCTTAGAATAAGAAATAGCATTATGCAAATATTGGTAATCGGAGAAATTTATTTTGATGAGACGAATGAAAATGAGGAATTTGTCTAGTATCTTAAGCTTCCTAACCATTAAGCATTGAAACTTGAAAGCATAATTTGTTTTTGATACAGATGATATTAGTTTTTATTTCGACCCTTTACAGCAGTAAATGTATTTTAAAAATATGAGATTTATTGTAAAAGAATAGATTTATTGTAAAAAGGGTTTGTGTCTTTCATGTTATGTCTCTCAAAAAGCAATATCTTTTAATATATAAGTGTTTTAAAAGCTTTTCTGCTTCAGAGATCTGTATTTCACTTGCAATAAAGTTAAATTTTTAAAAAATTTAAATGCATAATCTGTAGTGGCTCAAGGGGTAAAGTTCTTGTCTCTAAATGAGTTGACCCAGGTTTGAATCACAGAAATGGCTATAAATTCTGCTCCCGGCTCTCACAGACCACAGTGCTGGTGTGACAAGAAATATCCTCAATAGATCGCGGATTAGAATTCCCTTACTCTCAGGTTAACAGTGGAAGGTTTTTGTGATTTTCTTCTCCATGGAATGCAAATGCAGATTAGCCCAATCAAAGAGTTTCCATGAAGGCTAGTCGGTCCCACTGCCTGATCAGAGTTCTCTTATCTTCCAGGTTTTATTCAAAATTGCATGTGTACTTGGTTTAAAATAGTTCACTTCTGAAATTTCATCTTCTACAATCTATCTAACGTACTGGTTTAAGGCTTTATCATTTTAACTCCAAGTAGAATCTGTAATGGTATGTAAAGTATGAGAGATTAATTTGAATAGCAATCTATGATTGCTTCACTTCTGTTTTATCTTGCTTCCAAGTGAAGATACTTATGCTTAATAAGGGGGACCACTTTATCTAATTATCACCCACTTTTTCTTATATTTTTAAAGCATTATAAAATGTTATTCTTATTTTGTGATGTTTGCTAATGTTAATCATTTTAAGAGATTGATTTGAATAACAATCAATGATTGCTACACCTCTGTTTTATCCTGCTTCCAAGTTGAAATGAAGGAACTTATGCCTAACATGAAGAATCACTTTATCTCATCTGATTGTAAAGCATTATAAAATGTTATTCATTTTAAGAGATTGATTTGAATAACAATCAATGATTTCTTCACTTGTTTTAACTTGCTTCCAAGTGAAGGAACTTATGCCCAACACGAAGAATCACTTTATCTCATCTTACCTTAAAGCATTATAAGAGGAATGTGAAGATTAGCTGTCTATGAGAAAAGGATCTTAATAAATGTATTTAACTACCCACCTTATCATTGATTAAACAAAATGTTGATGTTTTACAAACCTATACAAAATCTATTCCATCTTACTGCAATGTTACCATTAATACAATTTTCTGTGCATAATTGCATAATTTTTGTTTGCATCTGTTAAAAGCATATTTTAGTTATTTGCTTCGATGCAATCATAACGTAATACTTTTGATTTTTCCTCTAACAGCTTGAAACCTTTAGATGTTGAATTTATGAAGAGATTACATGACAAAGTGAACATTGTTCCTGTTATTGCTAAAGCTGACACAATGACTCCAGAAGAGTGTGCCACATTTAAAAAATCTGTAAGCATTTATTCCCTTTCTATTTTTCAATGCCATATTTATATTTCAAATTGAATTATAACTCTACTGAATTATCCCAGGCAGTGTTGCCACTCCATAGGGAAAAACCTGGAAAATACATGAAATTTAAAAAATCATCTGAAATAACAGGGAAAATGCTGAGAATTTTGAATTATTACTTAAAAACTGGGAATTTCATCTTTTAAAAAATGCAGAGCAATCAAAGCTCAATTTATGGGATATTTAAAGATGATAGTTCAGCTAAATTAAATTATTTAATTTAAGATAGCATTATTTCTTTTATGTTGAGCTGTTCCTTATTTTTTGAAGTTTTTCAAGCAACTGAAACCATCATTATCCTCATATAGCACACAGGAGCTCAGTAAGATTTTTTTACAGATATGAGGGTAACCCTGCCTGGTTTTCCGATTTAACCCTCACACAGCAAAGCTTTTTCATTAACATCAATGGGGAAGTGGAAACCCCATTAGTTTTTATTAAAATATTATGGACGCTGTTATTTTTATACTATTTGATAATGAAAATGTTGTGATAAATCAATATTGGACCTAATACAATTTAATCAATGCAGAATTTGTTAATATAAATTTACATTGTCAATGTTTGTGTAAACAGATTACTTAATTTACATTCTCACTAAGTCTAACCAATTATGGACCCCACTACAATTTTCTATACATATCTTCTCAAAAACATTCTTTTTGATTAGTTGACCTTTCTAAATTGTATAAATGTTTGTAAGTATATTCTTTATTATTTGTTGAAATATCATTACACACAGCAATGAGATGAAAATAGTAACATAAACAACAAAATAAAAGCATGTTTTTAATGTGAATGCTAAATAAGTTCAATTTTGGACATGACAATCCAAAAAAAAAAAGCTTTAAGTTTGAAATTTTCTAAAGGCGGAATGATAAAAAAAAAAAAAAAAAAAAAAAAAAAAAAAAAATGATTTCTAACACATATTGATACTTAAAATTTAGTTTATATATTACAAAATGCCAAAAATATTTTTTATTTAATATTTGGGAATCTTTTTTTTTTGTAGGCTAAATTTTATTAGTTAAAAGTTTAGTTAATTATAAAAGAAAGATTAAGTTATAGGGTGAACATTAATTGTAAATTATTAACATAAATAGTAACATTATTTATTGATGGGATGTGAATGCATGTTGACATTGATTGTTCATGATGTGTTCATTCATTTATAATTATTAATTAAATTTAATGAGAATTTTCACTTTTTCATTAAATCTTAAATTACATATTTGGAAAGCTAAGAAAACTAAAAATTGTTACCTATTTCACACATTTCAGAAGCAAAAAGTGCAAGAAAGATAAAAGTTTATTTTTTGTACATTGTAATACATATAAAGGATTCATACATTTTAAAATACAAATCGCATGGCATTTCAATCTATGAATATGAAGTTCTGTTCATTGTCTTTTAAACAAATTATGCGTTTATTTAAAATTAAAAACTAATTGCATAGTGTATTATGCCTTAAGTTTTACAAAGAGTTTTTTTACTCGCCTAATCAATATGCAATTCATTATACATTTAGAAGGCAGAAAAATGACTGAAATAGTTATTCACAGGTCCATTTCTTTCAGTTATCTATTTGATAAAAATCAAGCAATATTTTTTAGTAGTATTTCTATATCTTATTATTGTAGTTAGGATATATATGTATGCATGTATGTCGACTGGCTTTTTTCTTTAAAAAATTTGTGCTGGTGAACCCTGGCTTTGGAGTTGTATTCACAATTTCTTAAGAGTCTGAATAAATGCTTTATGAACACCTCCTTGACTAGATTTATGTTATCTTTTTGTTTTAACCCAGCTTTGTTAAAAAACAGTGGTAAATTTATTAAAAGAAAAAAGGAATTTTAAGTGGAGAATCGATCATTTAAAGCTTCCTTTTAATTTGTGTGGGGGAAACAGTCAAAAATTACCATCTTCCAAAATATTTCACATGATCAATATCATTTTCTCTATTTTCTATATTTCTATTTTCTATATTTCGATTCTTTAGTAGTGAAATAGCTTCACAATATTTTCGGTTATGGATAAAGCAAACAATTAACATGCTTTGAAAAATAATGGAGATATACTTTTTCTTTTTTAGAAATTAAAATAATAAAAAACTTTTCTCAAATTTTGAAAAGTGCTTTTGGAGATAGTCCTTTTTGAAGGAGAGTATATTTTTAAAAGATTAAAAATGATGTTTCTGCGCATAAATGACTGTACGCGCTTGCCCGTTATAGGAGTGTCTGCTTTCCAAAGAGAATATATAATGATTTATTCATAGAAGATTCATGGGAAATTGAAAAGAAACTCCATAATTATAAGCAACCATTTTGTAGGAGTGTTCGTAATGTAAGGTTTCACCGTATAAGTAGTAAATATTCCTCCCTATATAAAGTTATGTATGTCTAAGTTATGTAAAGTTATGTCTAGTTATGTATTAGTGTAATATAGTTTTGCATTTTATTTCTGTTTATTGACTGTAAAAAAAAGATTTCTATATGTGCTGTTTTTGAACTCCAAGTAAAAATTAGAAAGGACAAAGAAAATAATAGTAAATAAAATTATACAGTAGGGAACCAATTATCCGGAACGATCGGGACCATCGATATTCCGGATAACTGATTTTTCCGGTTTTCTGAATCTCTACAAAAAGCCGTTTTTTTTATTGTTAAACCCAACTAAAAAAAGAAAAAAATTGGAAATAATCTTAAAAAGAAGAAAAAACGATGAAGTAATACACTAATGATTATTTACAAAATGATGGTAAGGTAAACAGCTTTAAAAAAAAAAACGAAAAATCCTAAAATCTTATGAGGAAAAAAATTTTTTTTTTAAAAAAAAGCGGGAAAACTAATCGAATTTCGTTCCGGTTTTTTGGTTTTCCGGTTTTCTGATTTCCGGATAACGGGTTCTGTACTGTATAAGAAATCTTGACATGCCTAATTATTATGTTGTTCCTGCAAAAACATGAACAATTTAAGTTCTATTCTCTTTTTAGGTTTCCAAAAAAAAAAACTTAATATTAATTCTTATATTAGTACATCAGGTTTAAGTACTTGTTGCCACAATTAAGCTTCACTAGCATTGATAATAATTTGGTGAATTTTCACACTTGGCACTTGTTTTCAAAGTGATTTTCAAGATAATAAAAAATACAACAAAATTTTGGCTGCCATATTGAAAGGAAGGGTTGAGTGTGGAATTTTTAATGGAAGTTTAAATAACTTTTATGGAATAATAAATGGGATGTTTTGTATTGGAGATTTTATTGGAAGAGTCCTTTTGCAATGTAGTGAAGTTTGTGTTTAGTACAATTGCTAAATTGTAGTAAAGAGCTTAGACTGTATGCTATACACCCTCAGAATTTTTAGAAAACTAAATTTGAGGACTAAATATGAATGTTTCAAACTGAGCAAGAATGCACCAGTACACACTTAAAAAATCATTTAACTTACTGAATTTATTTAATTACTTTTTATTGACCGTAAAATTGCATACCTTAATCCACTTAATTTTTGATAAAACTATTTACAAGTTTGTATGTTATAAAAAATACTATGTGATGAAATGAAAGAGAATTGATATTAAATAAATTTGTCTTTTGTATGCTTATTATTCTTTTCAAAAAATGTAGCAATTATGTTTGCAAAAAAAAAGAAAGAAAATTGTTTAAAAATTTCCAAATTTTCTTACTTTGCAATAATTTTTGTTGCTTTTTAATCATATTACTAAATTTTAATTTTTTCTTTAAAGATTCTGGGAGAAATTGCGCGAAACAAAATTAACATATATGAATTTCCTGACTGTGATGATGAAGAAGAAAATAAACTACTCAGGCGGTTAAGAGTAAGTATTGTATATTTGTATTCAGTTAAACTTCAACTCAATTAGTTGTTCTAAAACATTCTCTTCTCTTCGAAGGATCGTGTACCATTTGCTGTTGTAGGAAGTAATACAGTGATTGAAGTAAATGGAAAAAGATTAAGGGGGAGACGGTATCCTTGGGGTGTTGCGGAGGGTGAGTACTTTGTTCTAAATACCATCAAGAATTCATTTAATGAATACTGGATGTTATAGAAATAAATTTCCTGCTTGTTTATTAATTTTTGCTCCGTCAGTTATTCAATCAATGCATCATTCAAATACAGCGGATTTAGAAATTCTAACAGAATTATGCATGCTGTTTATATTCAAAATTTGTCCAAAAAAAGTGCTTTAAGAATTGCCATATGATTTATTTTTTCTTTCCAAAATATATTATTACTTAAGTTATTTTGTTCTAAAGAATACTTAAACTGCAATGATGCATAACTTTTTTTGAATTACAGATCTTGAATGCTAGAAAATATCTTATTGGAGGCCAAATTTAAGTGATGAAATGCTGTAATGTTGAAAGATTAGGGTGTCTTTGATTATAATATTTAAAAATAATATGGCTTACTTGTAATCATGTGGTACTAATTCTTTTCCTCCAACATCAAAAATACAAATATTTCTAATCAAATTTTGTTTTATAATTGGAAAAGAATAAAACTGTTTTATATAAACAAATTAAGATATGGGATTTCAATGCAAAATACTTAAGGCTTCATAAATTGTTAAAAATGTGGGAAACTGCACAATTTTCGTTTGCTGATATAATCGTTGAACATATTTATTTTTTAGCACACTATCAAATTGCAGCAAATATCAAAGCATTAACTGGATAAACTTAATAGTTTTTTTCCCACTTCTTATAAATACGTGGTGTATCCACTCAGAAAGTTTATAGAAAGACTTTTGATCTGCTGCCTAAACGACAGTTCAATTCAGAGACATTATACTTGCAGAAAGATTTTTGCAATTTGTTCTTCTAAGAAGTTTTACCCAAAACAGCAAAATTGAATGCTTACTAATGTTCAGAATTATACATATCTAAAAAAAGATAACTCTAGTGCAATTTTATCAACCAGTATTATACTTTATGAAAGCTGCAACTAGAGAATGCTACTTACAAAAAAAAAGTGTTCAAGAATATTCTAACTTGGATTTAATCGATTTCTGAAATTCAGAGGTAGTCTCAGTGATATTTCAGGAACTTACAAACTAAACAAAGTTATGTCTGCCTAATTGTGAAATTGCTGTGTCCTGTTTCAAACAAATTTTTAATAAACAAAGTTTGCAAAATAGTTCATCTTCTAGAATAATTTCACTTCACTTTAATAATCATTGTGATGTTAAGTATGGATATTAAGTAAATTAGTTAAAATCTTTGCTGCAATTATTGAAAATTTTTAATTAAGGCAAATAAGATAATAAAAAGTGTCTTTTTTTTCCTTTCAAATCCAATTATTCCTCAAAAGTTTTCTAAATTATCCAAAACTTCTCTACTTAATCTTAAATAATTATCGCACCCTTGTGGTGTTTTTTATAGAGCCTTATTTATATGTGTCGGTAAATTGAAGAAAAATTCACTTGCCTTGCATTTTATTTTATTGGAAAAACAATTATTTTTCATACAATTACTAATGTGGAGGTGATTTTGAAACTATTATTTATTTTTCTCTAATTTATAATTTTAGAATTCTTTTTTTTTTCTAAACTAAATATGGTGTAGCTCTTTAGGTATGTATATTTTCCTTTGTTAAATATTTTTCATTATTTTTTTTTATCTTTGTTATACTAAATGATATCTTTCTCTTCAAAGAAACAATTTTAAATACTACTTAAAATGTCATAGGTTTGCTCTCTTGTTTGAATGCAATTGAAAATAACTTGAAAGATGACTTCTTAATAGTTTAATGAAAAAAATTTTGTTTTTCATGATGTTATACTTGTTTCATTACAGTTGAAAACATGGAGCATTGTGACTTTCTTGCTCTTAGGGATATGCTTATTAGGTGAGATGATATTTTTGTTTTGTTCTGCATTGATACAAATGACTTATTATAAATAATTGTAATATGTACACCAACAAGGAATTTTTTTAAACAATATTTTCTCCCAGTTTTAAGAAGTCTTATTTCTCTTTTTTATGTTTTTAAGAATAAAAATATTTTTTGTCAGTGTTTTATTAGGAATTATTTTAGCAGCTCTTTTGAATAATAAAATTTTTAAAAAAAGTATGAGTAACTTTTCAAACATTGAAAAGCAAAACAAAGAATGAGAAGAGCTGGACAAAGATGAGTAAAACTTAAACTAACAATGGTTATTAAAATATGCTAAAAGGTATTATTACCTGTTACTATAGAGCCTTTCGAAAAACACCTCTAAGAAAATAATCAATGCTAGCTTTGAATTTACTATTGAAATTACCTTGAATTTATTAAGTACAATAGAACCTTGATGGATTATATCTCTTGGAGCAAATACAGAACAGCAGAAAATATAAAATTTTAGCTTTAAAATGTATAATGTAAAGTACTAAAGAAGCAATAAATTTGAAAACTAATAAATTTACGCTAAGTATTAGAAATTTAATTGAAAAAATTATGTACTTACTGTAAAACATATTTAATATGTAATTTTTAATGGAAGTNAGGGGTGCAAAATATGTCTAATCGCAGTAATGAGGTTTGGGAAAAGTTCAGGCCGTCCTGGTGAAATTTATTAGTTAATTTTAATAAAAATCCAAAATTTTTTATTCTGAAAAAAATTTGCGATATTATAAAATTTTTCTCTAAAATAAAATAAAATCTAGTCTATATAATCCTGATATTTTTACTATTATGTTATTAAACGGAAATTAGCATTGATTAGATTAATTATTTCTTGGTGCACTTTTTTTTTTGCAGATATTACTACAACTTTTCACATGGTTTTCTTTTCAATATACTGATGTTTTAGTACAAAATTATTGTAAAAAGAATATAATATGTTAGAAATGAGTTCTACTTTTTTTGCATTTCTGATTTCTGAATTTACTTTCATATCTTCAAATTATAATTTGTTTAATTTGAAATTCATTAAACTCCTGCTTGAAAATTCAGATCTCTATGTTAATTTCATTTTTGACCAAGAACTGTGGGGAACCAAAACCAACTGAAATTTTAACACTAATATCATTCCAAATATACGTTTCTTCCTCCATTCCAGATATGTGTTTCTAGATCAGTAAAAGATAACAATTGTTAATCATCTATAAGACATATTTTTATACCACATAGTAACATCTTTTAAATAAATCACTGTAACAAAACACATTACCTAAAATTATTATTTTTTAAGACTATACCTTAAAAAATTTTAAGAAAATATAGTGTTACATCTTTTAGTTTTACAATACTATGAGTATATTCAACTACAACTATGAGTTTTCAATCAAAACGTAAAACAATTAAAGAATTGTTTTGCAAGAAAGCATAAGTTTTCATGATAAAATGGTTCACAAAAATTTCTTGCATGATGCACTTGGGATAGCAAAAATGTTTCCAATTCTTGAGAAATTTGAAAAGGGCCATTTCAAAACTAATCCAGAAATCATAACAGTATTCTAATATCCAGATAAAAGGTTTTGTACTGTATTTTAATATCTGTGTTTTTTATTGATAAGACCCAAGCAGGAAGGTTTCATTTATATTTTGTTTATTTTCCTTTTTTTTAGAAAATAACTTAGTTTAGTAATTCTTTATCATACAATGAAATTTTAAATATTGACGCTTTGATAATGCTTTTTGTTTTTTTTTTGCCTTTTTTTTTAAATGTAGAACACATATGCAAGATCTAAAAGAAATTACAAATAATGTGCATTATGAAAATTATCGTTGTAAGAAACTAACAGCATTTACTGATGGAAAACCTGTGCGAATATCAAATAAGTATGTATTTACACTTTCATGTATCATTATAATATCTTTAAATTTATTGAAAAATATGCATATAAAATTTGTATGTAATTTTGTTTTATGCTGTATCAAGTTCTAACATTGAAAAGTACCAGTTTATTTCTTGTTTTCTAATGTTGATCTTGTCCCCCTAAATGACTCAATGACAACCTGTAAATTATCATGATATATATTTGTCCTAAAAAATTTGCCCTTAATCTAAATAGAGTAAATAATTCAATTTATAAATGTCAAATATATTTATTATGTTATATGCAGGGTATCCGCGACCTGGAAAGTTATGGGAAATCATGGAAAGTCATGAATTTCTGTAATGAACTAAATTCGTCATGAAATGTCATGATTTTAACTATTTTTTTATACAAGTCATGGATTTAGGTCGCCGAAAAATCTGATTTTTAAAATGGAATCCCCCCCCCTCCAATTTCATGATGTTCTGACTATTTGAATTTGTAACAATATCCCCACTCAGTCATATTTTATTAAAATATAAAATGTTTCATCACGTTCTTTAAAAACTATGGTGTTCTTTCAAAAAATCAAAGAAAAAACATCATTTCTAGAAATATCTTTTAAGCTTCTGTGATTTCAGAATTTTTATTATTATTTATCTATTTTTTTTATTTTAACAATTTAAAATTCTAGCTGAAGCAAGCCAGTCATTGGCGAATATTTTAAATTCCGAAATGAGAACAGAAAAATCAGGAGTATTTCTTTCTTTTCCAATGAACAAGAAAAGTATCTTTAGAATATAGTTCTGCAGAAAAAAAGATTATTCGCTTTTGTATTTTTTTTTCCTTCGGCTTTTTTATTGCTCCAACTCTTTCTTTACTCTGTTTTTTAAATTTAAATATGAAGATGCAGAGTATAACAGTTTGGTTATACCTATCATTTCAATTGATGTTATTGTAATGCTTTTTTAGATTTATTGTTGTGTTTTTGTCGGAGAAAATAGTAACTTCATTAAGCCATGAAAATCCTTTGAATTAGTCATGGATTTAAAAATCTAAAATCTAGCAGATACCCTGTATTTATTTTACAGCCACTTGAATGGATCCTAAGCTTCATGCTCTCAAAAATAAAACCTTAAATGGTGTATATTACTAATGCAATGCCTCAGGAACACTGCGGGCCAGCCTAAAAGTTTACATGAAGTGTAATTAGTTACTGATTTGATTAAAATTATTACTAATTTTCTATCAATTCTGATGATTACGTAATAAAATCCAGGTTTGTTTTTGTCAATAGCTATTGCTGGTTGAAGTAAATTAATATACAAGGTTGCCACTACACAGGGAGAATAGGGAAAACCTGAAAAATACAGGGAATTTAAAAATCACCTGAAATAACAAGGAAAACGAAGGGAATTTTGATTTTTTTTCTTTACAAGCTGGGATAATACAGAGAATTTCGTTTCTTAATTTTGTCTTTTAAAAAATGGTGACCACTCAAAGCGTAATCTATGGGGCATTTAAACATGATATTTCAGCTATACTAAACTATTCCATTTACTATAGCATTATTTAAGTATGTTCAGCTGTTTTCCTAGCAATTAAAACTAATAAATATAGTTAGCCCAATATAGCTCACACAAGAGCACAATAATTGTAGTTTTCTCTTAATATATTGTGTATTATATGTACAGGGAAAACACAGTGAATTTTTTTTTCCAGATTTGAGGGACAACCCTGATATATATATAATGCTGCTTTAATTGTTATGAATGATTGTTATTCAGATTATGCAAATTTATGTCTTAATTTAAGCTTAGCTTTCCAGGTGCTATAGCATTCAGCAATTCTACTGTAGCATGTACGGTTACCATAGTTCATAACTACTAAGTCACATATTAATAGGTTTCATAGTTTTATTACAGTACTATTTTTAAAAAAATTGTTGCTTGTGTACTGAAATAACCTCATTTATAACATTCATTTTTATTTCAAGGAATTTTTTTAATATTTTCTGCATTATTAGTTATGTGGATTTTTTGTATTCATCATTTTATTTATAAAATTATTTTAACAGTTTATGCCCTCAAAGGATATTAAATACCTTTATGGTATTTTGGTAAGTATTTTTATGGCTACAATTTTAACTGTTAAAATATATCCTATAATAAGTATCGAATGGAGATAACAAAGTAAAATTACTCAAAATATTCTTTTCTACTTTAATTGAAAACACATGATATAAATAAGTATTCAGTTTATATATCTTAATTATTATTATTATTAATTTGTATTTTTTTTTTCTTTTACAATTGAGTGAAATCAAATCACAGTCAAACTTTTTAGAGCATTATTACCATCTCTCACATATTTTATCAGCAAGTAAAGTAAAAAGTTGGTCCAAAGAAAAAAAACATATTAGAAACATAATTTATTTCATTTGTTACTACTCACCAATATAGGAAAAATTATTTTCAAATGACTTGTATATTATAAAATTTGAAATACAATTTGCAAAAATTTTATAGTCATATATTATATATTCTATTAAATATATAATTCATATATTTTGCTTTGGCTATATTAATACAATATTGAAAAGCACTATTATTTTGCTGCTGTATTATCGTGTGAGCTAGCAAGATCATATTTTGTTGTTGTGTTTTCTGGCCTTTTTTTTTTATAAAGTTTTTACAAATTTTAATTATTTTGTTTTGTTTTTTTATGTAGATGTATATATATAGTATATGTGTGTGTGTGTATATATATATATATACAGGGCTCGAAAAACCGCCCGTTCTCGGCGGTCGAAAGTTCCTCGCTGGCAATGAATTTCTCGAATCCGACGCCCGCACGGATGGCCATTTTCCCGTTAATGTATGTGATACATTACTGTAGAATGTAATCCTAGTGACTACTAATTCANAAATTATTTTCAAATGACTTGTTTATTATAAAATTTGAAATACAATTTGCAAAAATTTTATAGTCATATATTATATATTCTATTAAATATATAATTCATATGTTTTGCTTTGGCTATATTAATACAATATTAAAAAGCACTATTATTTTGCTGCTGTATTATCGTGTGAGCTGACAAGATCATATTTTGTTGTTGTTGTATTTTCTGGCCTTTTTTTTTAATAAAGTTTTTACAAATTTTAATTATTTTGTATTTTTTTATATAGATGTATAGATATAGTATATATGTGTATGTGTGTATATATATGTATATACAGGGCTCGAAAAACCGCCCGTTTTTGGCGGTCGAAAGTTCCCCGCTGGCAACGAATTTCTCGAATCCGACACCCGCACGGACGGCCATTTTCCCGTTAATGTTCGTGATACATTACTGTATAATGTAATCCTAGTGACTACTAATTCATTGTGCAATTTATATAGATGTTTGTAATAAATAAGAAAAAATTATATTTTTATTTATTTAGAAACTATATGGGTTAGTTTCAAAGGAGGACGGGTACATTGTTGGACAAGCCGTCCTTGGGGACCGGTAAATTTTCTGAGTTTTTTCGAGCCCTGTATGTATATATATAGTGTTTGTGTGTGTGTATATATTTTTGTATGGAAAAAATACTATTATCTGAGTGTTATTTGTAGTTAATGGTTGAAATTTATTAATGTTTACCTACCTTTTTTGGAAATTTTAGTCTAACATTGTAAGGTTTAGTTACAGGTGGATCAAAATTCAAATTAAATCTGGATTTTATTTTTGTACATGATTGTGCAAAATTTATTAATAACAATTTACTACTTATTAATAAAAGTTTGGGTACCTATTCAGCTAGGATTTTAATAATTTGATTTTAAATTTAAAAGCATGGCAAAGAATTTAAATTTTTTATCTGTTTATTATCCAGGTATCACTAATGAATTTGTTACTAAAACTGCTGATAAAAATAAAGAGTATTATTGAGAATTTAATTTCTTGTATCTTTTTTTATGAGTTGTAATTATAGGGCTGTGCAAACTTTTGTGGAAAAGAGTTACGGGAGAAAATAGTTTACATTCCAAATCCTTAACTACTACCTAATGATTTTAATTTTCTCTTTATCAATGCTCTACTGTTTTTAAATGTTTAATAGGTGTTTTTTTTTCGTGGTTTTTAGAAATTTAAATTCCCTGATCTTATTCAAGTTGGTTCTCATAGAAATAACATCAATGTCTTTGAATTTTTCTTTTGCATTTGCTCAGTATTTTTGTCTGTCCTAGAATTGGAATCTGTCGTGAATCTCTTCTAAATCCAGTACTATTTGTACTAGGGTACTGAAATTTGGAGAACAATTTTAGCCCTTGATCCTAAGAATCATTTAAAAATTTCAACTAATCAGTTCAAAAGAGATGTTTGTAAAATGCTTTTTTTCTATTGCTTTAGCATTAGCCATTATTATAAATTAAACAGTAGGTGTTTTTGTTTAGAAATTTATTCCCCTTTCTTTAGTATTTAAATATTTTTCACAAGCTCAATGATCAATGTAAATAGCACGACTACATCACCAAAATGGTATTTCTAAATTTATCTGTTTATTTTGTTTGTAGTTGTGATTTTAGAACGTGATTTTATAGAATTAACGAATTCAAAATCCTCAGTAATTGAAATAAAGAAAAAGTTACATATTTAAAAGCAATGTTAATAGAGAAAATGTACTGATTTGTTTAGGGGAACTGTGTAAAAGTGCTTTGTTATTATCGATGCCAATAATGCTTAGTTAATTTCAGTAATTATTACTACTGATATTATTGTGATTAGTGCTGTTTTTAATTGGTTCAGAGTATACTAATATAAACATAACTTACAAGCACTGTTGTCATAGTTTTTTTTACTGCTCATTCAAAGGAACAAGTATCATATAAAAATACTTGATTGTGCTAAATTTTGATTACCTTGAGTTGGCCTTGAGCAACAGCATCATGCGTAATGACTCTGATTACACTTATTCTTTATTTTAATGGGATGAACGTTAAAAAAAAACTGATTTGTTTAATCTAATAACGTAAATCCACTAAAAGGATCAATAAATGAAGGGAAAAAATGAAAATATATTAGTTTTATTAATTTTGCTTGTTTTATGACTTCCACTTTTGTGAATAATTCATAGTTTTGATCAGAGCTGTGGAGTTGAAATGTTTGATTTAACTCTTAACTCCAGAATTTCTTGGGAGTTCTTCTCCAATTTGACTCTGACTTATACTCGATTAAAATTTCAACTAAATCCCATGAAAGTATTAATTGGTACGATACCATCGTATTGGAACTTTCTCCTCTTAAAACTACATGTTGAAATCTGTGACTGTTTAAAACAGATTAATTATTATTATTATTTTTTTTTTTGAAAAAAAAAAAAGTTTATACTAACTTTAATTAATAGGAATCCATTAGCCCAAATGGAAGAAGAAAAAAAAGAACACGAATTAAAAATGAAAAAGATGGAACAAGAAAGAGAAGTGCTTTTTGAACAGAAAGTACAGGAAAAATTCCAGAAATTGAAAGACTCTGAAGCAGATGTAAGTCTATTTGGGTTGTTTTTTTTTAACAGTTGTTTGTGTGGTTAAAATTTTCCTTGCTAAGAGATTTCATTTTATTGTATTTTTGGTTGTATGGTGAAATATGCATTTCAGTAATGTATTTAAATAAGAATTCAGTTTCATGAGTAAGTACTAAAGTTGTAAATATATATTATATTCACTCATGTTGATTTTATTTCATTGAACTTTTAGCAATTTAAAATTTTTATAAGAAATAAAAATACTCTGTTCTGAAGTTGTTTAAAATATAAATTTTATTTTATTTTCCCTTCCTTTTTAATTTTATTCTGTTGTAATTTTTAATATATAAGACAAATTTTATTTTAAAAATAGCTTAATATTTTATAGGATTTACATAGAATAGTTTCATACTTAATGTCAAAACACGACCATAAACCAATTTTGTTATTGGATTAAAAAGCTATTTTTATCAAATTAATCTTTTGAGAAAAAGACAACTTGATCAAAAACGCCCTGCATTCCCAGGGCGTATAAAAATCGTGATCGGCTTGTATATTGTTTTCTTTCCATGCCCAAATAGGAATAGAATGCAAAATACCAATGAATTACAAATTTTTAGATGACTGTACAAGATTCCGTCGTTTCTGGATTACTACAAACATAATTTATCCAATATTATTGCCAATTTAGTGCTTACTGAAATTCTGACTACTCCTAAGATTAACTAGAACACTAAAATTTTAATTCACATTTTTTTCGAATGACAAAACTAGTTCTTTTTGTTTCCTAACTGTTAAAGACAGAATTTGCCTAATAATATAGCTGAAGGAAATTTACCCTCAATTGAAATTCTAACAACTCTAAAGTTAGCTAAAACATTAAAATTTTAGCTAACTCTCTTTGCAAGAGGACGTTTAAAGTTTCCTGTTTCTTAAATTTTGTGCATTTTGTTAGTTCAATTCAACTTCTCTCACTTGAATAATTTTTACAATAAAAAAAAAGAGGTAAGGATTTATTTATTTTTTTAAAATAAAATTTTCAATTGATACTATGCAGCAAAAATTCAGCAAAAAAAAAAAAAGACTTTTTTCTTTTTTTTTTCCCTAAAAATTTCATTTTAACATGAAACGAGTTTAGCCATCAAAATAATTATTTTTGTTATCTGTGGATAGAATGGGATAAAATATGAAATTAAAAGAATAAGATAATGTACCCAACTTTCTAACAATTACTTTTGCAAAGGTTTTTTCAAGGTGTCGTCATAAGATTACAGTTTGTATTTTTTTTAGGTATTTTGAATTATTTAGACACTATTAATGATCAAATCAAACATGTCCAATTGGTGCTACTTGAAACGAATTTTTTCTAAACCGTTTATGTTTTGAAAACAGGAAGGCAAACTTACATTTTCTTAAATAAAAACTGATTAAAAATAACATACAGTAAAACTTATTAAAAATACTCTGTAGTGACTGCCCTTACTTATATCCTTCTCAACTCTTAAGGAGGGATTGCTTGGATAATCATTATTTATTAGGATAATCATTATTTATAATGTTTTTACAATTATTATAGCTTGAAAAACGCAACGAACAAATGAAGAGAAGTTTAGAAGCGCAGCACAAAGAGTTAGAAGAGAAAAGACTGGCTTTTGAAAGGGAAAAAGCTAATTTTGAAGCTATAAACAAAGAGGAAGAAACCATTAGGCGCATGTCCATCGATATAAAGGAGTGAGTAAATATTTCACTTTTTATTGTTATCTATGTTGTTGTTGTTTTAATGGATAAAAGGACCAACAGTATTAAAAACAAAACTCATTAGCTTTTGATTTTAAAAAAATGAAGAACCTCGATTTTACAGTGGTCAACGGACTGCTCAAGAATGTTGTAAATACCACAGATGTTAAAACTCCGTTGAAAATTTAAATATAATTTGTTTAGTCATAAAGGAAACATTATTTTGATGGAAAGAAATCTGCCATTTTTGTAAGTTAAACTTTTTTTTTTTAAGTTCACAATGAACTTTTCAACAATTTCATCTATTTCTTTTTCCATTTAGAAAATAATCATCCTCTGCAGTACAACTCTTACTTCATTAAATGATTCCCATTCCATAATTTAAATTACAAGTCATCAGATCATCGTAAATAATCCATTCTGTTCTGATACAGTCTTTAGGAAATTTCCCACATAGGCAATATTAAGTTTTAAATCTTCAAACATGCTTATTTTCCTTTTTTGTTGAAGGTTAAAGGTTATTACAAGACAACTGGTCAGTATTTCGGGGAAATAGTATTAGAAGATACTCAAAGTACTAGGATTTTTTTCCCTTACATTATTGATATAGGAATCAAAAACGGGTGACGATGTAAAGTTGTTAAAAGTGGGAAATCGTTATTCACAGGTAACAATAAATACGAATTTTATAGTAACTTTTTATGAACATTGAACTCTGAGTTTAATTTTTTTAATGCAGCTATATAGAAAACTTTATTTCCAAAGAATTGATTATTTTTCTGAATTTATTAAATTTTTAAAATTGGAAGGACTCAATCTTCAAAATATTCAGAAGTGCATTTTTTAAGATCATACACCACCTATGATTTCCCCCTAAGTAGAAGAAAAATATATCTGCATGTTAAGCTGATACCTAGCAGAAATACCAGTACTTATCTTGAAACAGCTAAGGGACAAATTAATATTAAATGCCAATTTTCGAAGAAGAAAAAACGTGTCTTATTTCCATATTATCCCAAACAACACCAATTTTCCCTACCATTTCTTGAACCAACAACTTCACTATTATCTTATTCTTATATATTGCTGTATTATTTAACAGTTATTTGAAGAAAAAAAATTTAATGTTTTCAGCCCAAGTGATTCAAAAGAGAAGAAAAAGGAAAAGAAAAAAGGTTTATTTTAGTTGTAAATAATCAGTTTAGAAAATTTCATCTTCATGATCTGAATAATTTTTTTGTAAACGCTGTTGCCTGTTGCGAAAATCAAATGGAATCTTCTGTTTTTGTCCAGGTCTGGAGTGTACAGAAAACTTGACAAAACATCATTCAGTAACTTTTGCAGTTTATTTACTTTTTTTTCTAATTGTGTTTTGAATTTATTTAATGGAAAATTTGGAGTGCATAGAGTGAAAGACATTTGCTGTACTCATGTTGTTCAATTCAGAGACTGATCCCTATTATTATTTTTAAATGACTGAAAGCTTAAAAAAAAAAATTTCTTAACATTATTGAATCTAAATTTGATTTATATTGTGATATTTCTTTTTATACTTTTAATATTTTGTTTGCTTTTAATGACTTGTGACTGTCTTCATGTAATTTTTTTTTTCATCATAGCATCTAAATTGTAAGATTTTTAAATTTTAAAGAGCTTAGTTTTTAAAAATATTAACTATTACTGAGTGAGTATGAAACAAAAATTTTATTCTTTAAAAGTGTAATGAAGGTAATCACACGATGCTGTGTAGAAATTTCTCCTCGATATACAATTTTCTTATAGAACAACAAATAAAAGGATGTCTTAAAGTGTCAAAAACATTCAAATGGATCGAGGGTGCGTAGAGTTTTTAAAAAGTGCTTAAAGGTGCTTATTTTTTATTTACATTTTTTGAAAGTCCTTAAAGGTGTTTTTTTTTTTTTTATTCGGGGTTTGTAANAAAGCCCTTAAAGGTGTTTTTTTTACTCGGGGTTTGTAAAAAGTGCTTAATTTTCTATCTTTTAAAAACAGATTTTCTCTTTGCCGTGTCAATTGTCGTTTGAAATTACAAAAATGCAGGATTTTCACAATTTTATCCGCAATATTTATCAGAAACTAGTTATTTTATTGTGGTTGTGTGAAAATGTTTTTGAATTTTATTCATTTTATGTTCATAAATTAAGAACGTTAAACTATAGAAAAAAATAATTTTTATTATTGCACAGATTCTAATTAGGATTTTTCTTTTGGAAAGTGATTAAAAATATTTTTTAAGTGCTTAAAAAGTACTTAAAAGGTGCTTATTTTTTGTTGAAAAATCTGGCTACGCACCCTGGGATCATAAACATTCTCGAGGTGATGTTTTTTTTTTGTGTGTGTCTGTTTTGTCAAAATAACAATTAACCTCTTCCATCTCTATTATGTCATTTTTTATTTTTGAAAACAAATTTTCCCCCTCCCTATATTTTGGTTTTATATGATTTTAAGGATTTCTCTTATTCCAAATGAAATGTGCCTATATGAAACATAAAGTCTAAATTGCCCCCCCCCCCTAGAATGAATACTTAAAAATTAATGCAGGAAATTTAGTTGTCCTTTGATGCATTAGATTAGGTATTAAACTTTTGCTGGTGCGACTAGTGGACCAGAATGACGAGATTCTCCGAACGAAGCAAAGAGTTTAAATATTTTATGTTTTTCTGTTTATTTTCCCATAGCTGTTAACTTTTATAATTTTCGTAAAAAATGTTTTCAGATGGTAGTAAAGAGTCATATTTATTTGAATTTTACCTGCATTTAAAAAACTTTGAAGCTCGAATATTGGATAATTTCGAGATGTATTGTGTTTGTCAGCTTGATTTTAAATCGTATTATCCAACCAATAATGACAAGAGCAAAAAGTTTGCAGTCACTGGAAATAATTTTCAGTGTTCAAAAGTTGACAGCTATGTTATCAAATTCTGGAGTTTGTACATATGATTCTGTTTTATCAGATAATGTAACGTTCTTTCAAAATTTTTGTTAATATCTGAAATGGGATTTTAAGCAGTTGACAAATTTTTTTTAAAACATTTTCTGCAGGGAAATAAGAGACTGATTTTGTTGCCATTAAGAACTTAGAAAGGTTTGTTCAGAGTGTAAAAAAAGTGATCACCCTGAAGAATTTTTGATGTAATGATTACATTGATTTTAGTTTTCACGTATCTTGACAATTCGAAGGTCTAATCTTAATAATCAGCTAATTAATTAATCCAGGCGATATTTTAAGTTACAAATTAGACAACAGCAAAAAAACGGAATTTTTACTGAATAAACATACATTTATATTTTGGCAAATGTATATTCTTTACCCTCAAAATATGGGGAAAGGGTACTTCACTCTGGAAAATATGGTCTGAATATTAAATTTTTAAATTTATTTTTTAGTAAACAAATTCTAAGAAAATTGTATATTTAAAATTTGATGTCTATTCAGCTAATTTTGTTCGAAGTTTGTATACAAATTAAAATACTTTATTTATTCTTAAATGAGTTAATAATAAATAATTGTCTAATAAACTTTCAACCACTCTCCTAACTTTAGACCACATTTTCCAAATTGCTGCTACCCCTAAGTGTTTTGAACGATAACAGGGTTGCCACTCAACAGGGAGAATAGAAAAAACCTGGAAAATACAGGGAATTTAAAAATCACCAAAATTAACAAGGAATTTTGAGATTTTCTTTACTAACTGGGAAAATAAAGGGAGTTTTGTTTTTTATTTTCGTCTTTCAAATAATGGTGACCACTCAAAGCGCAGATGGGATATATAAAGAAGATATACTAAACTACTATATGCAACGTACAAAATATTACTTTTCTTTAGTTATACTAAATTATTTAACATTATAATTTAGTTATACAGCGTAAAACTATTATACTTTTCTTCAGTTATACTAAACTATTTCATTTACTATAGCATTGTTTAAGTAAAACTGGCCTAGCTAGCCCAATACACAAGAAAACAGTAATTGTGTTTCCTCTAGTCTTGTGTTATTGTGTCAAAAACGTTCAGGGAAAACACAGGGAATTGTTTTTCCAAATTTGAGTGCCTACCCTGATTTATAATCCGAATCCATTTTTGTGCCTGATTCCGAAACTTATGATATCATGTTCAAATTAGTATATTTAAGGTTCAGTCCTTGAACTATCAAGATTGAGTCCTAATACATGAAAGTGCCATCATAAGATGAGATCAAAAGTTAAATCAGAGAGTTCACTTTTTTTTGCGCACTGTACTTTTATTTTGTACGCTGCTTTTAAAATATATTGCCTTCTATTTTGTTTTGTGTGTTTGTGCAATATTTGTTTAGTGTCTGTTGCATGTGTCTGTGACTATTTTTATGAAAGAGTATACAATCCATGCTGCCTGATGAAGACTTCCAATCATTGATATACTAGCATGCAATGTTTTTTCTTCTTACTATTATAAAAGTATGAAAGAGTAAACAATCCATACTGCCTGATGAAGACTTCCAATTAAACAGAAATTTATTGATATACTAGCATGTAATGTTTTTTTTTAATCTTACTATTATAAAAGTAGTGTAAATCGGTTGCTCTATATTTACTAGTAATCTCATATTTCAATCATTTGTGTGTAAAATAAGTTTAATGTTTATTTTAATTTCGAAACATTTTTAAACTGTCGTCCAGTATTCAAAAGAGTGCTATTTTGTGGTGACATTTTTAAATCGTGTTATACCACCACGACTATTATTATTTGTTATTCTTTAACCTGGGAGAAAAAATTTGAAATGAATAACTCAATGCATATGTGGATAGTCTATAGCGTTATTCATTAGCTTACATTTCCGGAAAAGTTATAGCTATTTCATTTGCATTTAACACGTTAAGTGAAACATCAGTCATCGGTAATTACCAGCGGTAACTAACAATTCAACCACGACAGATGAGCTGTAAGGTTAAATCGAAAAGTTCACTTTTTCATAGGCGAGGAAAGTTAAAGGTGGTGGAATATGAGCACATTTCTGTTAGCAAAAATCTATAATTTGCATTTCATTTTTCTTTGGTTCACTGATATAGAACAGGGTGCATTGCATTTTTAAAAGCCCTTAAAGGTGTCTTTTTTTATTCAGGGTTTGTAAAAAGTGCTTAATTTTCTATCTTTTAAAAAGAGATTTTCTCTTTACCGTCTCGATTGTCGTCATAAATTACAAAAAATCATCAGAAACTAGTTATTTTATCATGATTATGTAAAAAATTTTCGAATTTTATTGATTTTATGTTTATAAATTAAGAACTTTAAAAAATTAACTTTAAGATAAAAAAAAAATTATTTTTATTACTGCACAGATCCTAATTATGAATTTTTTTGTTTTTTTGGATAGTGATTAAAAATATTTTGTGAGTGCTTAAAAGGTGTTTATTTTTTGTTGAAAAATCTGTCTTAGCACCCTGTAGAAAGCTCTTTAAATAAGTTAGAATTTTATTCGTGTCTTTTCTACAATATGCGAAATCACTTTCCACCTTTCTTCTCTCGCATCAACTTACTTTAATTTCTTAATAAACTGTACTGGTGTGCTTATCTCTCAATTTACACACGTGACCTATAGTAACACTAGTTATGTCATTTGTATTTCACTCTTCGAGTAGCGTCGTTGTTTGATCGATTGCACAATAAGTCTGAAATGGTACTAATCACTTAAGCCTTTCTTTGGTACTGTTGTATTGTAAAACTATAGTATATCAGTATAGATTGTTAAAACAAGTTTAAAAACTATCAAATATCTCCCGAAATGTACATTGGGTTGAAAAAGTAAAAATAGTCACATTCAATATATTTTGAAGCTTTTCAATGATACCACACTTGATCACTCACAGCAGGTGGGGGGCAACTTTGAAATCTTAAATATAAATTCTTTTTTTTTTTATTGCTGATTCGGAATCTTTTTTCAGAAAATCCCAATCTGCAATAATTAAAAAAATATGGTTTCACACTTAAGATTTCAAAGTCCTTTTAGTATCATCGGATAGCTCTTAAAAAATATTAAAAGTGTTTAGTTTTACTTTTTGATGTATATCTCTTGAGATATTTGACTAATTTCCAAACTAATTTTACAGCTCGTATAGTAAAACTTTGCTTGTTACAAACAATGTTAGCAAAACCTTATTAAAAATACTCTAATTTTATTTTGAATTTGTATTAGTATTTATTAAGATTCTAACGTGTTATTAATCGTTACCTACTCTACGTACTTTCTTGCCAATGAATTTCTTTGCCTGGCAGAGAGTAGGATTTTAGGAACTTATTTTTATAGCCATCGGGGGCAAAAAGTTGAAGTTTTAATTTTTGATAAGATTATACATGTAATTAATTGTGACA